GCGCCTCTTGAATCTGGTGCGTGACAAAGACATTCTAGTCACAAGGTTCATCTTTAAGCAATTCAAGCCATAATTGATCATAAAGGCTCAATGTCAATCATTACTAGTCATGATCCATCATATATACTTTATTCTAATTCAATTCATGTTTACATTCTTCTATTCTTAAACAATTACTATACATAACATCAATTCTAGAAGATCATCTATGAATCCTCAATTTCCCTTCACAAGGCATAATGCTACATTCTTCAATTTCATCAATTAGACTAGGGTTAACCATGGAAAACATATAATGTCATCATAATATCATGATTCACTACTAATTCAATCATAAAAAATCAATACCCACTCAATTGGGTGAACATTCAACATAACCCACAACTTAATTTGAAGAAACCCTAACTAGAATTAGGGATTTTCTTCATCAAATTGGGAAATTCTAGGGGGATCCATGGATGGAAGAATCCATGGATGAATAAGCTAACATACCTTGATTATAAATCCCTCACAATGCTTGCAACAATGGAGGAATTTGCCCTAACTTGCTTCTCTTCTTCTTCTTCTTTGCTTCCTAGAGAGAGAATTTTCTTGGAGGGAGTTGGGTTCTTTGGTGAATTGAAAATAATGATTTGGAATCACTTAATTAAGGGTCTATTAGCTTTATATAGGTAGTTTAATTACTAATAAAACGACCCCACTTAATAACTAATTAATTCTAGAAAGTTCACGAAGCCTCCAACTTAAACCAACTTAAGGCCAAGACTTCCTCACCCACGAGACCCCGACCCCGGGCCGTTGGTGGACCCACGGTCCGTGCTGGTCCTCCATGGGTGGTGGTCTGCAACTCCACTTTTGGGGTCTTGACCCACGACCCCATCCACGAGGCGTGGATCCCCGTACGGGGCGTGGGTCCCCAATCGTGGGTGGACTATCCAAGGGGCAAATTTTGGGTAGTTTCTAGGATCCTCCTCAAGGACCCTTGGTTAGTCCTTGGGGAGTCGTACCTTGACGTTTAACCCCTAAACCTTTCATCCTAAGTTCGAGAAGTCAAATCTACGACTCTAACCCTCACGTCAAGCTCTTGTTGGCCTACTAAACTACGAGGTGTAACAGGTTGGGAGAGACAAGTTAAACGATGAGACCAAACTCAAAATATTATTTCTAAATTCGTTGAATCAGAAAACAATTATGAAATTTCATTTCAAAATCACCCTTTGCGCTTATTGGCACCAACATTGTGTTAGCGTATACACGTGTTTTGGCAATTGATCCATGACCAATCTAAGGTATATGTTTATTCTTTATACTAGAGAGCAACATTTTTTAGGGGGTGGGGGGGGGGGGGGGGGGGGGGGGTAACGAGATTTAAAAATGTTGAAGAAAGTAATTTTTAAAAAGACACAAATCTATTTCAATTTTATTTAAGTTATTATTTGTTCATAAAATTTGGTGCTTATTTGAAGGAGGAGCTTACATAAATCGTCAATATCAAACAAGAACATTAATCGTAATAAAAGAATTAATTATACTAAACATCCTTGTCATATGACTTAATTTCTAAAATACTTTTTTTTCAACATATGATGTATACTGGGGGTGTCAAAAATGAACTCAAACATAGGTAATCCGCCCAGAATTTTAAGGTTTGGGCTCAAGATAATTTGAATTGGGTTCAATCTCAACCCATTCAAGCCTAACCCATTTTAAGAGAATCCTCAATTGAGCCCAATTCAATCTCCAATTTCAACCCGTTTTAAAATTCTTTACTAAGATATGTTCTTATATTAAACATATAAATTATTATATATTTAACATCTTTTAGGATTTATCTATCCATTTGTTACTTTAAAATAAAACTTAGAGCTGAAATTCGAATTGTGATTATAAAAGTTAAATATCACAATGTTAAAATTATTGAGATTAGTCGGGTCAAATTGGGCGAGTCAAAACCCAACCCATTTTTAGCCCATTTGAACCCAACCCATTTGAGTCCAAAGTAAACTTGGGCGGGTCAAGACCCAACCTGATTTCTATTTCAACCCATTTTAATATCTTCAATTTCAACCCAACCCGCGATTTAAAAATGTTGAAGAAAGTAATTTTTTAAAAAGACACAAATCTATTTCAATTTTATTTAAGTTATTATTTGTTCATAAAATTTGGTGCTTATTTGAAGGAGGAGCTTACATAAATCGTCAATATCAAACAAGAACATTAATCATAATAAAAGAATTTTGTTTAGACTATATATAATTTTTATTTTATTTTGTCGCTTAGATTAATGTTTTATTTTGATATGAAACATAATTGGCTTGAAGTGCATTATAAATTTAGTGTTTAATATACCATTCATTCTTTATACACGGTTCATTCATTAATCATACAAATTACATACTGTTAAAAATAAAATTTATTCCAGCTTAATACATAAGATAGTGTAAATATTAGTGATAATTATAAAAGGTAATTATGGTATCCTGAGTATTTAATTTAATGTAAGTTTACATGAATATTAATTTGGTTTTCAACTGGTGTCCTACTATAAATAAATTTAAAATAAATTGCAGTTAGTGTTTTATTCCCACACTAACTTCAGTTAGTGTCATACACATATTAATCAAAATTTCATACATGTTTTATCCAAACAACATGTATAAAAATTGATAAATTCATATAATCACACAATTTTATACTATTTGTATATCAATATTATATCACAATTCATACAATATCTAATAATAAAATATTAAACTCATAGGCATACACGTATTAATCAAATTTCATACACGTTTCATCCAAAAACATGTTTAGAATATAAAGTAAGCATAATGTGATTTTTAAAGAAAAAATCAGTAGTTTGACAAACCATACCAGTTTCATACCAATTTAATAATTTATACCGTAAACACAGTTAATAGACAATCACACCAATGTTAAAACGCAATTCCTACCATTTGTATACCATTATTACATCACAATTCATAAAATTTTCAAAATCAAAACATTAAAGCGTAGTCATACACATATTAATCAGATTTCATACAGATTTCATCCAATAAATGTACAGTTTGAAAACACACTGATATTTTCAAAATAGTATCTTGAAATTGTAATAGGCAATCAATAATTCATATGTAAACGGTATCTGCCTGAAAGAAAACATATGATATTATATATCATAAAGTACTTAAACACAAAAAAATTTGTCCAAAAGTTAAAAATGTTGGATGGTTTTGAAGATTCTCCAACTTCTACATTTGTTTTTTTTTTCTTTTTTTCTTTTTGATTTCAGTAATAAAATCAAAATCGGAATCAGAAGGGGTTTCAACAATTTTCCCCTTCCTCTTCTTCCCCTTTTGATTTGCAGAGCTGACCTTTTTTTTCTTCATATTTTCTCTCTTTGTCGCTCCTTCAACTTAGATGAACCATCCGTCGCCGGATTTTCAACAATTTTAGGTGGGGGTGGGGGGTGGGGTTGAGTTAATATATTAAAATTTGAAACATGAACATCATCATTAGATGTTCCTTCACCCAATATGGGACTCTTTTGAGGCGTTTCAATGGGTTTCTTAGACATAATTTTGTTGGAAAAAAAATTGGACGAAAGATTGAATGTTGGTGTAGTTGGCTAGTGAGAAAAATGGGAGAGAAGAAGGTGAAAGTAGGGTGATAGCCTGTATAGTTGGATAAATGTGGGGAAGGGTGGTGGGATTAACTAATGGGAGGTTATGAGTATAACATTAAATAAGGAAGTGTAATCAATGTAAAATTCCTATAATTGTGTAAGAGATAATTATGGGGTATTCTTTATTCAAATAATTTTAATAAATAATATAAAATTATAAAAAAATGACTTATTTAATAAAGTAAAATTTAATTAATTTATAAATAATTTGTGATATGTTATAACCCATAATTAAACTGTTATAAGCAAGAAAAAATTTTAAAAGTAGATTTAAAACTTGTAATATTGACTCTTAAATGTGTATATGAGGTGATTTTTCCAAGAATTAATTATACTAAACATCCTTGTCATATGACTTAATTTCTAAAATATCTTTTTTTTTCAACATATGATGTATACTAGGGGTGTCAAAAATGAACCTAAACATAGGTAACCCGCCCAGAAATTTAAGGGTTGGGCTCAAGATAATTTGAATTGGGTTCAATCTCAACCCATTCAAGCCCTAAACCCATTTTTAAAGAGAATCCTCAATTGAACCCCAATTCAATCTCCAATTTCAACCCGTTTTTAAAATTCTTTACTAAGATATGTTCTTATATTAAACATATAAATTTATTATTATATTTTAACATCTTTTAGGATTTATCTATCCATTTGTTACTTTAAAATAAAAACTTGAGCTGAAATTCGAATTGTGATTATAAAGTTAAATATCACAATGTTAATATTATTGAGATTAATCGGGTCAAATTGGGCGGGTCAAAACCCAACCCATTTTTAGCCCATTTGAACCCAACCCATTTGAGTCCAAAGTAAACTTGGGCAGGTCAAGACCCAACCATATTTCTATTTCAACCCATTTTAATATCTTCAATTTCAACCCAACCCGCCCATTTGACACCCCTAATGTATACCAATAACGAAGTACATTAAATTTTAATTATTAAAAGACAAACTATATATAACTATGAATATAAAATAATTATGGAATTCTTTTTATTAAATTTTAAGAAGGAGATAAGTATTTAACAAAACTATTTGTTCATGCCTTTAATTTTATTTTTTTTAAAAAGAACATTTTGAAACATTTTTAACAGATGAAGTTATATTTGTATAATTTTTTTATTATATAATTAAATTTAAATATATATATATTAAATAATGGGTACAAAATGTACCCAAGAGTTTATTAGAATAAAATTAAAATGCCAATAAAATAAAATCTGATGGGTTTAGGCACACAGGCCCCACCACTTCAGTAAAGAAAAAATAAACTAAAGAAACAAATAGAAAAAGCAAAAGGAAACCAAATTAGAAAAAGCCCATCAAAAAGAAATGAAAGTTACTACAGTCAGAGGTCTACCTACAATGGTGAAGACCAAATGTTACGCCTGAAGCCGTCGTAGCTCACTGGAATTAATCATCTGCAGATTTGGGGCGGCAATAAGGTAATGCTTGTGGTATCTCTCAAAAATTCCGATCCGATGCCCATCAAATTTTAGCTCAAACTCATCTTTAAGCTTTACCAAATTCAAGGTTTAAACTGGTCCCCTGAGGTGATTCCAATGTTAGATGTCTCTAAGCTCTCACCAGAAGCTGCAGAATCAACACCCAAGCTGAAGAATCGTAAACCAGTTCATTTGAATGTTTGCTGTTAGCTCTAAGGTAAATCTGGCCTTTGACTATACACTTACATAAGATCAGATGTAACACTAATTTAACTTGAAATCTGTCCTAATAAACACCTTACAATGGGCTGAGCTTCATACGAAACTAATACCACCGTTAATAAGTTATTTTTTAGTTCAGATCACAAATTAGTTTAGGTCGATTCTAATTACAAGTTGTTGCTAGATCTTGTTGTTTGCTGAATCTTATAGGTATTGTGTCTTTTGAACTAAGTGAAAGCGGTTCGGTTTTCTTGATATGCTTTTAGACCTACAACCTTACCCCTTAATTGTGTGAGCTTGCATCTTCTATTTGGTTCTCTATTCTTGTATGTGCTGAATCTTAGTTGTGGTAGTTGTTGTTTATCAATGTTGAGAAGTTTCCTTGCTTGCGATGGTAATGATTGAAAATTCTGATATTGAACTGCTCCTGTACCTACAAAATAAAAAACTTCATTAGCTAAAAAATCTGCTGCTAGTGCATTGCCTTCCCTAAGGATGTGAGCAAAATGCACTAGCCCTTTTCTCCTCCACAAATTAATACTAGCCATCTCCATCCTGATCTTCCAAGGAGCTTCCCGGTTTCCTTCTATCATATTGATCATGGCAAGCGAATCAGTTTCTATCAAGATCGGTACTCTCTGCTATTCAATATAGTGTTGAATACCTCCTTGAATGGCTATTGCTTCTGCCTTGATGCTATTTGTGATCCCAAGTCTTTTAGCTTCATCATATACTAGATTACCATCAGCATCTCTAATATAGAAAGCTGCAGAGCTCTCACCAGGATTTCCTCTACAAGCCCCATCTGTGTTACATTTTAACCATCCTATTTCAGGTTTTTTCCAAATTACCACCTGCGATTTTATTATGGGTCTGTATTGTTCAAATTGCTGAACCAGTTGAGACAAATGGTTAGGAATGACCTTTATCCAAGGGTATTTTAGCTTCACTAGTTTGACTAGGTTACTATTAATCTCTTGAATCACCTTCCACTTCGTCATATTCCCTCCATGCTCTATAATATTCCTTCTTTTCCACTATTTCCCACCACTTCTGTATTGCTTGATGAACTTGAATGAAAGGGCCTTTTAGCCCTATAGCATATGCATAGTATTTCCAGATTGATCCCGCAAATTCTCCATTGATAAAAAGATGAACCGTTGTTTCCTCTTGAGCTTTTTCACAACATCTACACCTGGAAACCACATTTATCTTCAGCGTCTTCAACACTTCATCCACAGGAATTTTGAATTTCCACAACCTCCACAAAAAGAAACAAATTTTATAGGGACCCCTGTACTCCAAATGGAAACATATTCTTCCTTCTCGTGACCTTTCTGTCTGATCTCTTCCCAAGCACTGCTTACTGAAAACTTTCCAGAGCTAGTTTTCATCCACCAAGGATGATCAGAAAGCTCAGAAATATATTCATATTGAAGTTTCTTGTGAGCATGTTCAACAACTAATTCAGAAAGGTATTGGTGAAGCTTTTCTCTTTTCCAGCCACTTGAATCCATGAAAAAAATTCAACTCTTCAGTATTCAGAACTCTTACAAAATCTGGATGAGTTGACTTTATATATAGTTCCTAAACCAGTCTAGTTATCCTCCCAAGTGTCAGAAGTACCACTCATTGACTCCCACCAGATATTCCCATCTATTTGATCTCTCGCCTCAATCATTTTCTTCCTTATTTGAGATCCGTTTTTCCACAACACCTCTATTGGTTTAAATTTCTTACAATATTTATTCCACATGAAATTAGACCATAATGATGAAATAGTTCTGAACCTCCACCAAAGTTTAGCAAATTATGCTTTAGAAATATCATGAAGATAGCTAAAGCCTAATCCACCCTCTTTTTTTGGTAGGCACAACTTTGACCAAGATACCCAATGCCTGCTTCTACCTTCTTCCTTTGTGCTCCAAAAAAATCTAGCAAATATCTTGTGCATCTCATTAATAGTGTACTTAGTAGGGACAACTGCAGATATCAAGTATATAGGAATACTTTGAAGCACACTTTCAATGAGCACAACTTTGTCTCCAAAAGATAAAAGTTTTCCTCTCCAATTTTGCAATCTATCCTTAACTTTCTTTATTAGATCATTGTAATATTCCTTCCTTTTCCTATTGTGAAAAATTGGACAACCTAAATATTTGAAAGGAAAGTTTCCTTTAGATAAACCAGTAATCTGCTCAACTTTCTCCACCAGTCTAGCCTCCACTTTATGAAACATATAAAAACAACTTTTCTCCTTATTAATCAGTTTCCCTGAGATTGTTTCATACGCTTTAAGATCCCTCATTATTTGTTTTAGAGTCCCTTCCTCAGCAGATGAGAAAATGATAGTGTCATCTGCATAAGCCAAATGATTAATGCTTTGACTCTATTTAGGCATTCCATAACCCACAAAGTTATGATTTTCAAACAATGAGTTTAGAGCTCTAGATAAAACTTCCGCTGATAGTATAAACAAAGCAAGGGATAAAGGATCCCCTTGTTTTACCTCTCTTGTAGAGTGAAATAAGCCTTTTGGTTGTCCATTAAATAAAATAGAGTACCAGTTATTAGAAATCAACCTCCATATCATGTCAATGAAATGATTTGAGAAACCCATCTTTGATAAGACTTTGACAAGGTAGAGCCAAGAGACCCTATCATAAGCCTTAGCCATGTCAAGTTTTATAATCACATTGGCTGGTTTTCCTCTCTTCCTAATATCTATAACAATCTCTTGAGTTAGTAAAACATTTTCAATAATGCTTCTACCCTTTACAAATCCAGATTGATTAGGAGAAATCAATTTTGATAGTACTTTCTCCATTCTACCATGAATGACTTTGGAAAATACCTTATTGATAAAGTTACTAAGACTTATAAGTCTTAAGTCTGAGTAGTTTTGAATAAGATCTTTTATTGGCAACAACACCAAGTTGGTGTGAGTAACAAATTTTGGTAAGGTCTGGCCCTGAAAAAAACTGCAGGTAAGTCTGAAGATATCCACCCCCACAATATCCCAAGACTTTTGGTAGAAGCATCCTGTAAACCCATCTGGACCACTAGAACTATCCCCATTAAATCAAATGCTGCTTCTCTCACTTCTTCTATAGTAGGTATCTTGCACAATAGGTCATTCTCCTCTGGACTAACCAAACTAGGGACGTGTTGTAGCAACTCCAGATTAGTATCTTCATCTTTCTATGTGAATTGCTGACTATACCATTCTACTGCTTCTGTTGCCATTTGGTTTTCATCATCTAACCATATGCCATTTTTGTCTTTGATTCTTTTGATCTTCAATCTGTTTCTTCTCCCTTTTACTAGGTTATGAAAGTACCTAGTATTTCTGTCCCCTTCTACAAACCAGTCTATTCCAGCCTTTTGCCTCCAATATTCTTCTTCATAATGCAGATATCTCTTTAATTCAGCCTGACACTGCTGCAAAATGGATCTATTTTGTGGAGTAAGGTCTTCTTCAAATAATGATTTCTTGAGTCTCACTATCTCTTCTCTGATGATAAGTTGTTTGAAAACATCACCATACACTTCTCTGCTCCATTTTGATAGAATGCCCTTCATCTTTTTCATCTTGTTCTTAAACGTGATAAAAGGATTGAGCCCTTCTTCTGCATGCCAATTTTGTTTTACAACTTCCATAAAATCAGCATGTTCAGTCCAAAATTTCAAAAACCTTAAAGGTTTGATGAAATTTCCAGCCTGAACTCCGAAGGTGCACAACATTGGACCATGATCTGAGCATGTTCTGGCTAGATGCTCCACTTCAATATGACCAAAGATTGATTGCAGGTGCTTATTAACAAGCATTCTGTCTAATCTTTCAAAAATGCAATCTTCTCCTGTCCTACCATTCCACCAGGTGAAAGGACTACTTTTGAACGGAACTTCCTCTAATTCACAAGAGTTGATGCAGAAAGCAAAATCTTCTACCTCATATGGCTGAACAGGCAAGCCTCCTATCTTTTCCTCCCCATTAAGTACTACATTGAAATCACCCCCAACCATTCATGGAATGGTAACTGTGTTGGCCAACTGATAGATGTCATCCCAAAGTTCCAATCTATGATTTGCATCACATTTGGCATATACTAAAGTCATCACCATCTCAATATTCCGGCTCTTGTATCTTCAAGTTTAAAGTAATCTGTTGAGATTTATCTTCAATAACTTCCACATCTACGCCTTGAGCAACAAAATACCAAATCTTTCCATTAATATTAGCTCCTGTCACGTGCATACCCAATCTTCTTTTGTATTTTTCAATATGTTTTGTCCGCTGAAAAGGTTCCGGTAGTACTATAATAAAGAACTTATGATGTCTGTTTAACATTTGAAGCCTATGAAAGGCTTGATTAGTTTTAACAGATCAAATATTCCAGGTGAAAGACTTAATCATCAGATAAGCTAGATTTGGCGGCCAAACTCCTTGTTACAACCCTGGAAGACTGTGGTTTATCAAATGGAAAGTTTTTATTGCTCCTTTTTCTTACCTCCTTACATATAGTTTTAGGGGATATGTCAGCTTCCCTTGCAGCTTCCATCTGCACCATCTGCATATCTTCATCTTTGTATTCTTTATCTTCCAATTCGAGTAGATTTTTCCCCTGTTTATTCTGCATATTCACCTTGTGAGTCACTAGGTCATGTAGAATTTTGTTTGGATAAATATTGCTGCTACTCTGTCTGTCTTGCATATCTAATTCAATACTTAATCTCTCTTCCCAATGTTCATTCCTTGGCTCTATGCAACCTATAGCAGGGCATGATGAAAGTGGTTTAGCCTCACTTTCCATCACCAGTTCCATTTTTTTCTCTGAATCTCCAGTGAACTACTCCACTTCTGGTTCCTTTAATAATTCTCTACTATCTTCTGGATCATTTGTTTCTCCTCCAAGATCCCCATTATCTGTTGTAGTGTTATTCACTATTATTAACTCCACTTATGGATTTTCTTCAATTTTTCCATCTTCTCTATCTACTCTGTCTCCACAGCATGAATCCTCCTTGTTGATACTCTGGCTACCTGATTGTGTGTTGAGACTTCTGATTTTACTATCATCTTTGTTTTTTCAGGGTTGCCCACCTGAGCATGTGATTTGGTGTTGCTGTGTTCTCCATTGTAATTTGGTGCTCTTGCTTCTTTGATGCCCTTTAACTGTTTATCTTCGATGTTTTCCAGTTCCTGTCTCTTTATTTAATGCCTCAAACATGTTGATTGTCTAAATTCCGTTGTGCTTTTGTCTTCATTACCTCCTGCTATATTTTTAATTCTATTATCTTTTACATCATTCCACATCTTTGGCACTCCTACAACTCTCCCACTAGATAAGAATCTAGTAGGAAAAGGCTTTACAGTAGGTTGCTTTTCTGCACTTTGAATTTGCTTTCCTTCCCTTTTAATAGATTCATTATTAGCATTAGCATTATCAATATTGATTGCCTCCTTTTTGCTTAGTTCTGGATGTAGTATTATGCATTCTTCATGGCCATGACCTTGCATTTTGCATTCATTACATTACTTGGGCAAAAAGTTATATTTGATCTTCACAACTTCCTTTCTCAATTCCCCTTTATCATCATCTGCTATTTCCATGATCACTTGAGTAGGCAAATTTTCTAGTAGATTGACTTGTACTTTAACTCTTGCGCAACTTGGCTTGGTTTTATTAATGGTGGCCATGTCAAGTTGTAGTGGCTTTCCAACTGTTGAAGCTAGTGAAAATAGAACTTCCTTCACAAAAAAAGTAGGCAATAAATTTGGGAATGAGATCCAGGCCATGGCTTGAGTAGTTTCCTCCGCCACCTTGAATTTGGCATCATATATCAATGACCTCATCTGGTAGTTGTACCCTTCTTTATCATTAAAATAATATACACCTTTTGACATTATGTTCACAAAATCTTCAAGTAGATTAAATCTAATAAGAATGTGTCTGTTGCGCAGGTACCCAACTTGGCAGTCCCCTTTTGTTCCACATTGTTTTGGAATTAATGTGCGCAATTCCTCCAAGGCAGGCCATTCATAAGAGAACTTTCCAACCACTGCATATTGGAGATTTTCAATGATATTCATTCATGTCACTTCTGCCTCTGTCCAACGAACTACTGGATATCCATCTACAATGTTGACAGCTTTCATCTCAATTGGTTTTGTAATTGTATTGGACTCCTTGCTTTTAAGCAAATCTGCATACTTTGTATGGATAGTAATAGGACTGGGTATTTGTTGTACTGATGCTATTGGTTGTGTTATGGCTTTGAAAGGTAAAGGAGGGAAATTGGATTGGGGTGTTAAATCTAAATTGGAAGAGGAGGCTCGATCAACCAATAGAGGTGGCTGACCGGCGGCCATTGGTAGGTTTTTCAAGAAATTTAAATATATATTCATAGAACGATAAGGTTTTTATCATAGGAAGGGGTGTAAATGTAAATTTTTATAGTATAGGGGAGGTGAAGATGTGTCTGATTTCAAAATACAAAGGATCTATTCTAAATTAAATTATAATATAAGAGTATTAGTGTAACCATCCCTGATAAACACTATTAAATTTATTCTATGCTATTACTATTATAATATATTTGTATTTATGACCTAATAATTCATGTTCAACTAAAATGAAAATCAAAGTAGAATTGACAAAACAATATGACATACCAAGCTACAAAATAGTCATCATCTGAGTATAAACGAATTCAACAATGATGTTTTCACCTAACATAATTTGAAAGATTTTGATTTGTATATCTAGAAAATGTGAAAAAATTAGTGGTAACATTCTATTTCATTTTTAAATTTTTTTTTACAAGAAATAAAATTAAAATATTTTATACTTAATTACTTGATGTTTTGTAATGACTCTCCAAGTTAATTCATTGTACATGCCTTCTTTTTATCGTTTAGAGCATTCCTATAGCAACCCCAAGTCTTTTATGACTTGTTGAGACTGATAGCTAAGCCATATAATTTTCCGTTTGGTTTTTATGCGAATTTCTATGTTTTAGAGCTTTTGAAACTTAAACGGTTGACTTAGGTCAAAAGTTTAGGAAGATAACCTCAGAATGCAATTCAGACAGTTCCAACAACTCCATAAGGGTCATTTTAGGCTAGTGTTATGGTTTGCCTGACTTCGAGGCTTCCAGTGTGAATTTGTGTCATTGGGCATTTTAGTTTTTAAGCTTTGGCCTAAGTTTGACATCGGTCAATATTCTTCATAAACATGCTCGGATTAGAATTATGTGGTTAGCTCTAGTATGTAGAGTTTTTTCTAGAACGGCCCATCATGCAGATCCCTAGGCTCCTGAGAAAATTCCAAGCCCCTATATGAATTTTGGCTAAAAATGGAGTTTTTGTGTGAGACCTAATTTTTGTCGAATATCAAATTTAATAGGGTAGCATATCTTGTTTGCGTGTATGGGGTTCCGAATGATCTCAAGCACCCTGTTAGGGATTTTGAACTTGTCTAACCTAGGTGACATGCATAAGCTGGTGCAGGAAATATTTTGACTTCGCATACGCAGGAAGTGGGCCGCGTTCGTAGAGACCAGTGCACCTGGTCACCGCGTTCATGTGACTCCTATCATGTCTGCAATGGCCTGGGTCCCTAATCCTCCACAATTGCAGCGCCCCTGTCGCGTTCGCGATGGCCTGGGTTTCTAATCCTCCGCAATCGCAGGCCCATGATCTCTTTTGCCTTCGCACTTGCAGTCTCTTCTTTGCATTCGCGAAGGGAATTCTTTCCGAGCCTCTGCATTCACAAAGGATTAATTGGTCTGGTCTTTTACATAAAAACCAAACCTGATCAACAATTATTCATAAAATTGCTTAAGCAATTTTCAGAGTTTTAGAGATCCAATTGAGGTGATTCAAAATATGGTGCATCTGGAAACATTGGGGTTACGAGGATGATCAGTCGGGGAGTTTTAGAGAGGATTTGCTTGAGGTAATTTGTTTTGTTTAGGGGTTGCATTACCTCCTTCATTGTTCTTTAAATTGTAAATAATTACAAGTTGGTTGTTTAAATTGTTCCGATCCCCAAATTGTGTTCTGCTTTGGAACCTAAGTGTAATGACCCAAACCGTCGTTAATTAGGAAATGAAAAATGTTAGGAAAACTGGGGCCCTCAGCCCGCCATAGCGGGCCAGAAGCCGCTAGGGCGGTGGTGCTCTAGCAGGATAAGTGGCCGCCAGAGCGGGATGGACGGGACATAATGTAAATAACGTGAAATCTTAATTTCTCCTTTTCCAAAAAATACCAAAAAGAGGTGAGGATCACCCTAGAAATCCTCAAAAGGCTTCTGTAGGCTTGGGAGGAAAGGAGAAAGAGATTTCTAGCGTAAGGAGGTCGATAGATTGCGGACTTCTGGTCAAATTAACCGTCCTGTCGTCCGAAAACCAGATTTTGAGCTACTATCCCTCTGTGAATGCTTGGCGCCTAGGTAGGCCAGGTTTATTAACTGAGTAGTTATAACTCCATTATTCACTACGTAGTATAATGGAATTTGATGGTAGAATTCATGCGTAGGCTTTCGTGCACCGAAATGAGATGATTGTACTCGTATCCTAGGTGTTACATCAGACGTAACCGTAAGAGGAAGCCTTAGTTAGTGAACTAGGGCTAGACGATGGTTGATTTCCTATTTGTGAGATATATGGCAATTTATTATGATATGGTATGCATGCGTGTATGCGAAGAATGAAAATGTGGAAACAAAACTAATGAATTGATTATGAATGAATGATTGTATGCCATGAATCAACACTTGATTGTATGATTTGAGTATTGTACAGTATGGATGTTAATTACTTTACAAGTCTTAACTCGAATTGTTTTAAAACTCTTAATTTAAGAAATCTCCATGAACTTCTTTTTATCTTAGTTTTTATAATCTTCCGTATGTTTTTCATATTTTGGGAATCGAGGTTTCTCCTACATAGGTGTTAGAGTAGGTGCTTGTACGGCCCGGTGGGTTGGGTTGTGACAAATTGGTATTATAGCCCAGGTTACCGGTCTCCCCGTACAAGAGCAAATGTGGAGTAGAATCCTGCGGATGGGTGTGTTGACGTCCATATCTAATTTTCAGGAAGCTATGAAGCATTCTAGGAAGTTGTCTCATTTCTTCTCTCTTTTTGTGTGAGTTGTTGCTTCTGGTATGAGTTGAGTCCGATTGATATCTCCCGATTCCAATTGGTATCTTAACGAAGTGAACCGGACGTCATAGTCGCGGCTAAAGGGACACAAGCAAGTTAAATTAGAACCGAGAAGGTTCCGATTGGTATCTGGCCTTAGGGACTGTATAAATGCATGGATGATCAGTAATGGTCATCTATGGAGCTAACTAATTAATAACTTGGACTTGTCTGTGAGTTGTAACTTGAAACTGTGAATGTGTGCTTCTTATGGTCTGAATTAACTGTTGGTGTAAAGAATATGATTTCTTGGATGTTATGATGTGATTATGTGCACAATAAGTGCTTGTCTGAACTTTGATATACACAGCATGATAGACTAAATATTCGAACTGTGCGTGTTGTGATTGCTTGAGTTTCGTGAACTTGTTGTTGGAAAGAAAAGTCATGACTAAGTTCGGTGCAAGGTTCTAGACAATCTATGATGTGATTCGTAAAATGAAATTTGGACGTGTCTTGCGATTAATAATAATCGTGTGAGTGTATGGGCATATCCTAGGGATGTGCGTGGTTGTGGTGTTGAATTAATGTATAGGGATTTTGGAGTGTGTACTGTGGGGATTGACTCGGGGTAGACAATGACTATCCTAGCTAAGAGGATTTTCATTAAATTGCTTAGTTATAGCCTGAGAGTTAATGAGAAATTATAGAAACGGGAAGAACCCCAGGAAATTGTTGACCTGGGGTACTGGTCCGTCTGAGCCGCTAGGGCGGGATTATTCCTGCCAGGGCGAGGCCGCCAGAGTGGGATTTCTCCCATCAAAGCAGGATAGGGCGAGACAGAATCTCAGCCATGTTTCCTCTGTTTTTCCTAAGTAAGGCTGGCAAACGGACCGATTTTTTGTCCGGTCCGATTCCCGTACCGGTTGAACCGGTAAGGAACCGGTCTTATAGGTACCGGAACCGGTACCGAAACCCGGATTTTTATCCGGTTGATCCGGTCCGGTAAGAACCGGTTTCGGTCCGGTTCAACGGTCAATTTATTATTATTATTATTTTTATTTTTTTAAA